CGACTGCTGGCACACACTTTATGAATAAGGAGTCATCCTTTTATAAATTAGCAGTATGTGCCTACAAACGTGGTAATTTGAGGGCAAAGTCATTTGGGTTATGTACGTTTTGTAGCAATTTGTCCATTAAAATGTATCTCTACAGTATGTCTCTTCTGATTAAATCCCCCTATTTAAGCAGTTGGCTTACACAAGACACTTTTTCTAATTTGTGTCACCCCTAAAACTCTGGCAGACTAAACCTTTCCCTGATAATTTAAGTTAAAAATACTTAAAGGTTAATGCTGATTATAAATGAACTAATGTAATGAATCAAAGTGTCTTTTGGTCATTTCAAAGACCAACATGTTTAAATCAAGCCTTTAGGAAAATAATACTTTGGGCTGCAACTAACAACTAAGTAGTAAGTAAGTTGAATTCTTACTATTTATTTATACTATTTATCAATGAATCATATGGAAAGTCCAACAATTGTGGACAATAGTAGATTCCCTAAACCAAAAGTGATTTTTGTTGTGATAACTTGTTTGGTTCAACCACTATTCCTGAATCCAAAGATTTTCAATTATCAATAACAAAAAAATAAAGAATTCACATTTGACACTCCAACCCAGTGAGTGTTTTTGAATATTTACATGGGAGATGTCAATAGATTTACCTAAAATCAAAACAGTTTCCTCAATTTAATTTTCTTGACTAACTAATAGGTTAATGACATTGCTTCAGTCCTCGTATCCTTTCTACCCACATGAATAACAACTCTTTTCTAAATGACAAGTTAAGAAGAAAAGGAGTAACTTCTTGTTGTGTTTTGATGGTACACATATTAGTAACTACATGATGATGGTGAAATGCTGTCAGAACAGAAGCAGTAACCTCAAGGCTGACCTCAGTCATGACAACGTGATGAAGGCCGCAGAAGTTTGAAGTTTGGACAGAGTGACTCTTGAGAGCAAAGCCATTTCAGTGTGATGCCAGGACTCATTTGTCACTTCTCATGCACTAAGAGATGACATGGATTAGCCCTACGACTGATTCACAGAAAACAGTGCCCAGTGAAGGTATGACTCAAAGGCTGTCAGAGACTTATGCTGTCAAAAGAAGTAAGAAAACTTTAGGCTTTTACTATAATACAATCCATCACCCAAACAATAATTGAATCTAAAAATGCTGTTTAAAGTTATTTTCTGCAACGATAAAAGCTTATTTCTCTGTGTGTAAGAATGCGTATAATCTCACTTTGTAATTCCCTCCAGACGTTGAATTTGGGGATAAATGCAGCATGTCAGTTCAGAACAACAAGTACTCAAACAAGGCCATAAAAGCGAGCGCCTGTTAAGTAGCATATTAGTGTGTTCACTGGGTTTGTTTGTTTTTTGGAAGAGGAAGCATTTTTAATATCATGGTATTTTTCAGACGGCTGAGCAGTGTATGATATTAGTCTTGTAATTGCTGATGTTAAGTGACACCCCGTTGCTTTCAAGATGGGGGTTAAAGCTTTGCAACAAGCAACACTACCTTCGAGGCAATTAAGAGGACACACTTCCCTGAAAGAAGAAAAGCACGCAGAGCCACTCGTCGGGGGATTTTCCAACAGAGAGCTGATTCTGGATTGTTTTTTCTTTTTGTAAAAGCTGTGTCAGCACCAGCATGTCACATTCACATGAGGAGATGGAGGTGGGGTGTCCATTTGAAAGCTTATTCTTTAAGAACAACAATGAACTGTAACTCATAAGCAAGAGTAAGTGCTCATTTGGGTATTTAAATGGCCGGTTTTTCTCTTCTTCTTCCCTCTTACCTTTTGAATTGAATCAAAGCAAAAGCACAACTGCACCCAAATGTCCAAAAGTGGCATCTTGTGATTGGCTGAGTCATTAGGAAGCAGTAAGATGCAAGTTTCTATTAGTAGCTTCCATCTCAAGACGGAAGGACACGCAATGACTTGCATGGATTTGCCTAATTCCCCATGCTTCCTCTGACCTCCATCTAGTGCGCTTAAGCTGGTCCCCTGAGGAAAGCTTGACAGCGACATTCACTCACTTTATTACCACGGGACTCTAGTCATCAGCTGCAGGACACTAGTTCATAGCTGGGCTACATTTTGCAACCTAAATTAATTTAAAACCAGCACTATACATTCCCTATAAAAGGAGGTAACAGCTCCATAGGTCTGTTCTGCAGAGGGGAGAGGGGGCTAAGAAAGGAAAAAGGGACAAACAACATATGGACAAGCCTTTTCAAAAAGTCATTTCCCTGCACTTGGACCATCTAATAAAAAGCTAAGCCCAAATCTCTTTTTTGTAGATTGGAAGTCACATCTGTATCAAATACCCTGCTGCTTTAATGGAGGACTGTGTAAGCTGATCCTCTACATTTATGGATCCTCCTAAAAAAAGATTCAAAGAAATCTCCCCGAGTTGGCTTAAAGCAGGATAGGCCACGCGAGACAGAATAACTCCCATCATCTGAACCTCTGAAGGGAAGAATGACTTTGAACAGAAACACAAAAGGGAAGATCCTTCTCTTCTGTGCCGATGTAAAGGTTCAGTACACAGCCAGTTGTATTATTAATGAGCCCAGTTATGTGGAAGACAAACTCCTCTCAAGTCCTGAATACACCCCCGCAGTGCGGCCACTGACACACACCTGGAGATGAAAGGAAAACGACTGATCTATTTACAGTAAGAAGTCAGTCAGTGTACTTTGTTTCTGTTTTACAGTCATCGGAGGTATGTTCATGTGACTAAGTGCCGCCAGCGAACGGTCCGCCCTGCTTTGCATCCATTTAACATGACCTCATTTCCCGAGTACATTTAAAACCACTCAATATTTCATAAGAGTTGTAAGATAAATGTGTAATATTTACTATCAGGCGCTGTGGGTGAGCGTTCCATAATAAAAACAGCAATCCTGGCATGAGTTTCATCACAGCTCTTCTCTGTGACAAATAAAATCATCCTTGGTTTTGTGATGGTTTCATATTCACTTTCATCACATGCAATATGAGTTAGTGAGATCTGATTTAAGCCAGCTTTAAAAGTCTTTGCTTTGCACTGAATGTTGGTATCAAAGAGAGAACAATAGATGGCCTGTGGATGATTGTGCCGCATCGGAAATGACTCTAAGCGCGAGTTATTTCCTCCGAACTCTCAGTCCACATCTTTGCTGTGCATACTTCCTTCTGGATGATCATCATACGGCCCGATCCCGCCTCAGGCCTCACAGTCTCTCTTATACAGAAACTGTCCCTAAATCAGAGCTCCTGCTGCATGTTGCCATGAGTCCCCAAGCAACACCCGCCAGCCGAGACCACACAATACCCATGATGCACCACGGGAGCACCTCTGGTCAGCGTGCAGCGTGAAGATGACATGGCCATATGTTCATACCCTTAGCTTTCCTGGCTGTGTTGTGAACTTACAGTTGGCCTGTGGTGTGGGCATGATTCATTACATTTGGACACTTTATCAACATAATTAGGGAAGCTGTCAGGTTGGGCCCTGAATGACCTTTCAGCGATGCGTGTGACCCGATTGATCCACCGCTTCATGTGCATATTGACCCAATATGTACCGGACTCAGGGGAAACTCTTCGGCTCTCTGGCTGCCATGTTACATCAGGAATGGGCAGAGAGGAAAGACGCAGGATCACATACTGTACAGCGTGTCCAATACACACAGACCAGGCACCAGGGTAATAACGGTTCTTCTTTACGCCTGTTAATGTTACAAAACCAGTTCCCAGTAGTGTTCCATTAAGTGACGTAATACCAGGCGCTGAGAAGATTTAATTTAAGTTTTGAATATCATTCAGACCGTTTTAATTGAATCCTGAGCTACGATAAGCAGTGAAGGTGTTGATGAACACAGCTGGGAGGAAGTCAATCTGCTCTTTGTTGGCACACTCAACCAGCACCTGTTCTGTCACACATGTTTTTATAGTCGTGTGAAAAAGAGCTGCACATAGTGATGCATTTTATTATCAATGATCTGTTTCCCCTCTTCCCCGATTAATTAGTCTGTGAACTGTGGTCACAGCTTTCCGTAGACCAAAGGGATGCCTTTGAATAGATATTAAACAAAATAAAAGATAACCAGAAATCAGGTTTCTTTTTACTTTGTAGCGTTGCAAATTGTTGCATTTAGAACCTCAAAGTCGCAAAAAAGTGGCTTTTCCTTTTGTTGCTGAATTACTTGAATTAATTGGTATTCTGAAATGTATTAATTTGATTATCTCTTCTCAATTGATTGATTATTACATTTTGGTTATAAAATAACAATAAATAGTACCAATCAGGTGATACTAAAACTACCATTGCATTGATCGTACTGTTCATATTAATGGTATTCTGTTTACTTATGTTTCATTATGCTTCTTCTGGCCAAATACAGGGCAGCAACAGATGATGGTTGTGTCTGATGTGCACCATGAATGTAATTTTCTTTCCTACGTGACGAGCCTTGCAGATTTTCCCTCAGCGTATCAGTTCAGTTATGCGCTTGATACGATGTTGCCACCGTTTGTTTGTATGTTTGTAGAGTGTATCCGAAATGAAATTGCAGCATGCATTCTTGTGCAATCTTGTCATTTCTTGTTCATTTGTCTGGTGAACCTCTGGATAGGGGGTGTTGGGAGAGAGGAGATTAGATAAACTCTCACAAGGAAGCTCATAAATGAAGATCAAGAAACAGAGAGAGAGATTGTGCATCAAAGAGAGAGAGAGAGAGATTGAGGTTTTTAAAAGGCATTAAAATGCACTCATGAGGGAAGTTGAGCAGAGAACAGGAAGTATTTTCCCTCAAGAGGAAATAAAGTCTTGTTACAGTGAAATCAGCTGACCTCGTGGCTTCTGTCGGGGAGGAATGCATGCAGAGGAGAGAGACAGGCAGATAACTCAGAGGATCTCCCTTCAGCGCACACACAAACACACACACACAAGCTCTGTCCTCCTCCCGCCCTCCCTCACTTTCTCTCTCACTCGCCCACTTACTCAGTATCGTTTCATCTGTCTCTCTCCCCCTCTCACACTCTCAGTTGCTGCGCTGACGGATGGGGATACACTGCCAAAGGAGGACTTAGGGGCGAGAAGAGAAGTGTTTCTTTTCTTCCCTGGTGTGTTTTCTTTTCTCTTCCGCCTGGCTTCCCCTCATGAGCTGTTAATTCCAGCCCCGGTTACCGAGGATGAGGAGGATCTATTTGTGAGGAAGGGCGCAACAAAGGAAGAGGGGAAACAAGGAGCAACAGGGTGGTACATTTTGCCAGTGAGCAAAAAGACCTTTCCTTTTCCTCCAGGCTCGTGCAAAGGTTAGTGAGGAAAAGCTGCTTATCATTAAAGCAAACACTGCCTGCTGTTATTGTTTTACCCTCTGTTCTGTACTTTATTTCTCACAAGACATTTGCTTTTCAAAGCTTTTTATGTGCCTTTCTTCCCTTAGCGTCTATTAAGGCTTAGATGAAACGTCCTCACAGAGCAGTTATCTTAAGTGAGAGCAGTTATTATAATTAAAAGTCCCTCAGATTTATTTTCCATACAGCAAGTCCCCAGGTGAATTACGGAAGTTTAATTCTAGGTCAACACGACTGTATAATTCCCCGAAGGTATACAGTACAGTTGTCAGGTGGAGTCTCTCTTTTAGGTGAGGTAACAGCGAGCGAGAGGAAGGAAACTGTGAGGACAGCTCGCTCTCATCACCCGTCACTTTATACAGGAGGTAATTAAGCAGGACTGGCAGCCGGTAACTTGGAAACAGGCGTGTGGGAGACGCATGGTGGCACAGGATAGGATTTAGAGGAAGGAGATTCCCTTTGTTCATTCACACAAAAGCCTGCTCCTCCTGTGAAATATCCCGCTCTCGCTCATGTGTACGTGTGAAAACTGGCCCAGGGGCCACAGGTTTGAGCTTTTATGATTTTGCATGACAAGGGACATTGTGTGGAACAAGTGTGTGTACTGCAAGCGCATAGAAAGTGTGTTGTGTGTTTGTGTGTGTGCCCGTGCAATGCATGCATATGGACAATACGTCTCTTGGGTGTGTTTTGGAAGAAGTGAGTCTCTAAGGTAAGCCCACATGTTTAATTAGCACAAGTGGAAGAAATTAGGCATGCTTTGAAATAGTCAGACAAAAGGACAATAGCAAATAAGAAATAAAATCCCATTAGGGATTGTGGTTCCTTGTTGTGATGCCTGGGTGAGGCATTGTGTATTTCTTTACTGAATGGATGAATGAGCTCCCTGAGGACTCTGTGAGACTGTATTTATTTACAGTAGGTGATCGCAAAAATTCTCCTTGAAGACTTTCAAGCTCAACATTTACCACAAAGCCTTCCAGCAGGTGGGGTGGGGGGCGGGTTGATGAAAAATGTATCAAAGAAAAGTATTGTGCTCTCGGTATAAACACAGGTGGAGGCACGTAGGGCAATTATTCTGAACTGTGTGTGTTTTGACACAAAAGGACGGATATTACATAAGCCTAAGCCTCGCTGTCCATTAATTTCAGTGACAGCAAAGTGTTGGTCTACATTCAGCAGGATGTGTTTATACAAAAACCCCAAAGTGAAGCTTTTAAAAGGGATCATTAAGCAGCGAGCAAGTGCGATGACCTACCCTGCTTTCTGTTTAGTCTGGACCTTAGACAGTCACCTCCATGGCAGGAAGAAACATTAGACAGCTCGGGACAGTTGGGTCTGGACACAAATGACAGTAAAGGGTAATAAGACTACACAATTAATCCACATTTTATCAAATATAAAACAGGGTAAAGGCAAAATATGTGAAACATCATTTTTTAATAGGGCTACAAACAGTATTCGACAGTTTGTACAGATCCTCCTTAAAAATCAGACCACAATCATAGTTATCATTTTAATTCGTATTATCTAATGATAAATGTTTCAAAACGGATTATTCCCTCCTATATCTTGAATCATATCATAAACACAATAATAGTGAAATAGTCGCTATTAGTAGTTTTTTTCCAAATCGTGACACACACACACACACACACACACACACACACACACACACACACACACACACACACACACACACACACACACACACACACACACACACACACACACACACACACACACACACACACACACGTCGTGACCGGTGGCTTGGCAGCAGCCCTGAAGGTGAACATTGTGAGTGAGGATCATTTCACATTCAGAACAGATGATCAAACTGGTGGAACTGCAGAGTCGCTGGCGGCACCAGATGCAGACAATCTTTTGGCAGAGGAAGACTTGTTGGTGCCTAAAAGTCAGAGGCAAGAAGCTGAAATTATTACAACTGCGCTATCGTCATCTCACGGGTGGTGGTTCTTATCACGGTTTAGATAAGGCACGAAAACCCCCCCCAACTATCAGCTTTAGAGAACGGTGCTTTCCGTCACTGCACACAATCCAGCTTTATATCTAGACGTATCAGAGTGCAGACAGCGGAGGTTATTTAGGAGAGGGCACAAACTGAAACTGTATTGCAGTCTACTTTCTGTTCATGCTGAGATTGAAGCGTGTCCCCAGTTTATCACATACAAACAGAAGACACATTTTGGGCTGGAAATTGAACATTTCCTCAGCAAAGTATCTGATATTGCCAAATTCCTCCAATGTAGAAGAGTACTTACAGAAAGCTCATAACAGCCTGTCTTACTAAAGGTGCATCTTATTTACCAGCTCTTTATCGCTTGTGTTGAGCTACACACTCTCTCTAATCTATTATGTTTAACTTCCAATAACTTCCTTTGCTATTTCCACCCACTGAAATATGAAATAGAAGCATATATTCTGAATTTGAAAAGAGAAATAAAACAGGAAATTGACACCTGAGACAGAAAGTTAGTGTTGCCCCTGCTACACCAGCAAGAGGCAGAAGGGCCAGCATGAACACATAAATAAACAACTTAGGTTTTCACACTGGATTAGTTTAACTCAGTTTGATTGTCCCTGTTATTTTAACACTTCCACTGCTCTGTCCTCACCTGCGTATTGTTTGTGTAAAGATGTTTTTTTGATAAAGTGTAGCTGCAAACCACATTGGCCTGACGTGTGTGGGTAAACCAGCTGAAGGCCTAAAGGGAGCACAGCCACAAGCAAAGGTCAACATGATTGTAATGTTCACAACCATATTATGAAAGAAGTTGTCCTTAGGGCTGCAACATTGTTCTCGTTATCGTTGCATTTGGTTGTTATTTCTACATACAAATACTCAGTTTACCATCATATAAAACAAAAGAAACATACAAGTCAAGTCAATTTAAATAAAACTAAGCTCAGTCTAGCTTAACTCAAATACAGTGTCTTTATGTGCAAAACTGCCATTGTGAAAGGCTTGTGTTGTGTTGGCTTTCATGCTGTTTGGAGTTTTATCTTTTGGTAATTATTTAAAATACAACTGAATTTAAATATCAGCTTAAAGGCTAAAAAGTAAACCACGGAAATATATTGGTTTTCACATCTGACAGAACACAGACTTCAATTTGCCTTTTTGAGTGCACTGGATCCTCTTATCCCCCTCTCACCAAAAATCATTTTGAACTATTTCCAACCAAGTGTATAACTGATTAACTGAAAACAGCAATGGCAGTCAAATAATAACATACTTCACTCATTACAAACAGCAGCATGTTGTCACTGAGTGTGCACAGAAGTGTCTTGTTTTCTGATCTGCAGTGCAGAAAACTCTGCATTCATTTGGTTCATCTGGTCTGTCATTGTGACATCTCTCTCCCCGGGGTTCACAGCGAGTTCCCCGGCCCTGCGCTTCTTTGTGTGTGTGGGTGTACAGTATGTGTCTTTTAATATTCATGCGTTAATTTGTGTTGATCTGTTTGTGCGCCTGGTGGAAAGAAGGAGTTCAAAAGAGCAAAGGTGTGTGTACAGTATATATGTGCACTGAGAGAGAGGCTGACAGGTTCCTTGATGAAAAGTTGCTTTGATGCCGGCTTCCCCTCAGTATATGATTTCACCTAACAGATGATAATTTAGCGACGCACACAAACACTCAGTGCCTAGTCTCTACCTCCATGTGGCCCCTGTGTACTCTTCAAAGGCAGAAAGCCAACTAGCATTTTGTGCTATTATACTGTCAACGTTAATATCTGTAGCGCGCTCCTACTGCATGGATTCACCCTGACCTTTGGGCAACACGTACAACAGCAACACAAGTCAAATCTTTCTCTGCTTGTTTGCAGCTGATACAACTTGATGTCAATATGTCTAGATGAAGTATTTTCCTCTTCAATGTGTGTATGTACATTGCTTTGAAGTGTGTTGCTTCCCCGGGGCGAAGGGGATGTTTTCTTATTGGCATCAGGAAACGATTCCTCTTTTTGTGCAGTTACTGAAATGAGAGGCTGAAGGTATTCAAATAACAAACAAGCTTTTAACATGCAGACACCCAGTGGCTTTTTGAAATAACAGACTGTGTGTGTGTGTGTGTGTGTGTGTGTGTGTGTGTGTGTGTGTGTGTGTGTGTGTGTGTGTGTGTGTGTGTGTGTGTGTGTGTGTGTTCAACTCAAAAGGGAAGAAACATTACATTGATCCAAACTCCCTTGAGACCTTTGTAATATTGACTGAAAAGAAACTGTTCAATCACACATGAGTGATCTCTCACGAGGGAAATGTAATACTGCAACATTTAATATGCAAATGTGTATTTATGTTGTAGTATTAGTGTTCATTCTTGTTTATTCCCATGCATACATAATAAGCTACATCTGTTTATTTTGGTTAACAATTAAATTAAAACCTTGATTGAGGGAGGAAGTCAGGGGTCTTCTCTCTTGGGGGATTTTAACAGAGAACACACTCGAAGAATAACCGTACTGTTGACATAGCATGTAAATGTTTGCATGCATGACCCTACTCTAAATCAATGATCATTATTGGTCTGACCTGTGACCAACTCAGCTTTTCCACGTGGCCTCCTCTTCGACTTCGTTTGACCTTTAGGTGATCAGTGTTACATGTGACTTGGTGATGATGAGGGAACAACAATATTCTTGTTTTGTTTTGTGTTTCAGTAGAACTATGTATGTTCAAGTTGTTTACATTGCTAACAAACCACTTTATATTCACAACACAGAGCATCTTTCAAATGTTGGAGTCAACCAGAAATACAGACTATTTACTAACTAGTAAATCCAGAATGGTAAAATACTTGTATTTAACTAGCTAGATAACTAAAAGAACTGAATAACTATTTTCAAGATGTACCAAAAGTGTGAAAACTAAACATTCTCTTCAGGTCTTAAATATAATTTATATTGCTGAATTATTAATACTGATGCATTAACATG